GACGGACAGACGGACAGACGGACAGACAGACGGACAGGGCCAAATCAACTCAGCTCGTCGCCCTGATCAAGAATATATATACTTTGTGGGGTCTGCCACGCCTCCTTCTGCCTGTTACATACATTTCAACAAAACCATTATACCCTGATTTCCCATTGAAAATGGGTTCAGGGTATAAAAAATTGTATATTTTAATCCTTTGTCTAGCTTTTCGTTTGTTGGTTTCATTTTCTTCACATGTAGTAACGGGTATTTTCTAATCGGGTACTCCCACCTAGATTTTTGTTACTCGATTCCGAATGATTGAAGTACTCATTTCAGTGCTTTGTCACATACCCAGCAAGCCCTGCTGTAGCCGTTCGAGCATTATGTGCGTGTCCGTATTAGTTTATCCAGTCTGTAAACACATCTCGTTTGAAAATAAGCCAGGAAGCGCGTAGACTGTTAGACTGTTCCTTTCTCATTTTTCTTGCACGGATTTCTCAACAGTTGCCCAGATGAGGATGGAAGACCCGGTTGTGTCTATCTACGATATGCTGATGAAGCGCTACCGACAGCAGCGCCGAGATGACCAGCAGCAGCAGAAGGAGGCTCCGCCCCATCGCCAGGCCAGTCGCGATCTACGTCAGCCCTACGCTGCTCTACAGCAGCCCCAGGCAGGAGTCCAGTTGAGTGCAGACAAGAAGCCCAGGCCGCGGCTGGCTCGCCCACGCCTTGCCGGGGACAGCCTGACTGGCGGAAAGATGTCCACGAATGTGGTGACAGCCACCCACCTGACCAAGAAGCAGTCGGGTGTCCTGCTGCAGCCGCCGCTCAAGAAGGAGGTGCTCAATCAGCTCGTGGCCAAGATGAGTGGCAAGCAGACGCCGGCTGCAGCAGCCATCGCTGCAGCCACAGCAGCTCCAGAGAAGCCGTCGACTTCATTGAACAAGAAGCGTTCGAAGACTGGCAAGGGCTTGAAGTCGTCGCACGGCAGCGAATCCAGCAATCGTCGCTCTAGGCCTGTGCTCTCTCCGCGCAATACCAATCGGCAACTCAAGTCCCAGAGCAAGCGAGATAAGTCTAAGATAAACAATGAACTGAAGCAGCAGCAGCAGCAGCAGCAGACACCGCCGCCGCCGCCGCAGCAACGTCGACCCAAGAATCCGGAATCGGAGCGACAGAAGGTTCGTCTACGGTCTCGTCTCTCCAAGTTTTCTGTGACGGCAAACGACCAAAGTGCTGACAATGCCGTCCGATGTCGCCTCTAGGCGTTATACTATACATATAACGTCTCCAGGCGTTATATACTATATATATATATATGCA